TTAGATGATTAATCCAATCCGCTTTGGTGTCTATCTAACTTCACTTCAACTAGTCTTTGATTTTGCTGAAGGCATTTTGCTCGATCAAATAACAGATTACAATATAAGACTTACAATGTAAATCCTATTTAAAAGGATGATTGAGTATCCAATTCAAAAGGTGTATTTCAGATACACCAAAAACACATCCTTATAAAGTTTGGATCTTGGGCTATCGAATCCTATAAAAAATCGGATCCTAACATTTCAGATCTTCTTTGTATTTTGGATAGTAGGCAATAACTTAAAATCCTAAAACATTCCAAGTGTTTAACCATATGTTATTTTGTATTATTATCAAATCTGATGGTTGAGACCAACAATCTTTCCATATTTGTTAATAATACAAATAGATAACATAAGAATACTTAAATGAAAAATGGTACTGAAATATAGTAAATTTCATACTATGGACTTGTAATTTTAGTAATCCGTTTGTTCTGTTTTTCGGGTCTTTTGTGCCATTTCCTTTTTGATCTTTTCTCTTTTTCTTTGTTTTTATTCTTTTGAAGACATTTCATATTATTATTATCCTATATCTGGAAGAGATTGAGGAAACGCTCCTTCCATGAGGGGCCTTTCAACCTACAAGGAGTATTATTATTACTATAAATGTATTCGTTTAATGCAGAGATATACATATCAATCTTAATGTTTCGTTTATTCTTATCTCTATCGATGTCATAATACGATTTTATGTGGTTTCAAGAAAGCGATAATGTTTTCATTTTTGAATAAAATATAAATTTGAATATATCATAACAATTTGAAAAAAATAATATAATATAATATTTGGTTTAATAATACAATTTTTTTAAGTTTAATAACAAAATATTTTATTTTTGGTATAATAATATAATTTTTTTATGAAGATAATAACTAATATTTTGTTAGAACTCAATGATTATCTTAATTATATTTTAGATTTTTTATAATTAAAATGAGATGTTTATCATGTATTTAATTATGTTTATCTGCAATTAGTTACACGAATTCAAACATAAAGCTTTAATAAGTTGTAATTACGCACAATCTACTTGTAATCTTGAATTTTAAATAATATGCATCAATAAACAGTACTTTATGCATAAAAAATGGTTTTTAAGATTTTTATCAAATGTTTTATAATATAGTATAGATTATTATTATTATTATTATTATTTTTAATTATTTTATTATTATTATTATTCTTATTTTGTTTCTTTTTTTTTTCTTTTTCAGGTAATCTTACATTGCAAATAGATAGTGAAGACGGAAAATTATGTTATATAGGCATAATTTAAGACTACAAGAAAATAAGATAGAGTTTTATCGTCTGAGATATTCGTCTACAATTTCCTCAATTGAACATTCTCTTTCCTTGATAATATCATTTATCTCATCTACAAACATTCTTCCATATTTCGTTTTAGAATAACTAAAGATATATTTACTAAATAAGGTGTATCGTCTAGGAATAACTCATCTGATCTTTGGTATTCGAAAGTTCCCAAAAAATTCATGTAATCATTTTTCAGGGATTATCAGATTTTATTCTTGGAGACTTCGGAGAACTGGGTGGAAGAGAGAGATTAAGGTTTGAGATATTCGAAAGGATACTTGAGAGTTGATCAAGAAGAAACTTGAGAGTTGATCAAGAAGAAGCTTTGGGTGATTTGAACTTATGGGTTTAGAGGGAGTAGCATTCAAATGACTTGTTCTTTCAGATGAAGAAGGTGGTTGCAAGGGGAAGGGGAAGGGGAAGGGGAAGGGGGGGGGGGATCCAAATTGGCTAATCTGGACATTCTGAGTGCTTCTTTCTTTGTTGTTTTCTTGGCATTTTTATCAGCCAATTCTTCTTGAGGAGTCATATTGGTTTTTCTTTTATCCACTGATTTTGGATGTTTATCCCAAGTCAAACTTTTTTTTATCAACTAACTTTGGATGTTCATCCCAAGTTGGATTTTTTCTTTGATCGGATGAACTTCCTCAGTTGGTTTCTAGGTAAAAGGTTTACTTTCTCAAGAAACAAAGGATTAGGCTAAGATCCTTCACTTGACATGGGCTGGGGAGGGATTGGGGTCGCTTTGCTTTAGAACTTTAGTCCCCCTTAATCAGATAACTATTTAGTCAGTTGCTCTTCCTTTAACTCCCCTTAACAGTTGCATCATTTTGATCTGACTGAGCTATCTTTGAGGTCTCAGCTTCTTCTACTATTTTCTTATTTTCTTTACCTTAATAAGATGGTTTACAATCTGAATCATTTGGTCAACCATTGCTTCATCACGTACCTTTCTTCTTCTAAGCTACTAAATATTCATTTTCTGATTTCTCATTCTTAGTAGCTCCAGATGAAGTTTTATTTATCAAGATATTGAGTAGATTTCTTCGGTTGAGATGTGACCTGCATAAAGGGATTATTAGAAAAAAAAAATTAATGGTGCTTAAAAGAGAGCATTAATCAGATCATGTGATCTTGTTTGCACACTTCTATCAAATGCTTCCAGGTATCTCTTGAAAATCACAATCAGAGAGTCTTGAAAGAATTTATTTATTCTAAGGACTAGGGAGGAGTCCGAATCTTCACTGTCAACATGTTGAGAAGTCGTAGTCACTTGTCTGGCTTTTCCCGATTTTACACAATGTCATTTTGTGAGGGCACTGAGGACGTGGTTTGAGGTGCAGATGCCATGGGATATGAATGGCCAACTTTTTATAGTCTTAGATTGTTAGTCTTCGACCAAATTACCATTTATGACCATTAGGGTAGATGAAAAGTTTCTTTGGAGCATCTCATTTGTTTAAGGATACAAGTCCCTGTTTGTTTTAATTTTGAAAGTTGGGAAACTGGGGTAGATGTTAAAGTTTCAATTGGCACCATACTCTTCTAAATCGAAACGGATAAATTTAAAATTATCATACATGATAGATCTTGGAATCTGATGGAAATTTTTTTTTTTTTGGGCATGATTTTTTTAATTGATTTTTGGAGAGAGAGAGAAAAAATCAAAGGTGATTTTTAGAAGGGTGAGGTAGAGAGAGAAAGGACTTTAGAGAGGTGAGGTAGAGAAGTTGGTGATTGATATGTCAGAAAAAGTATCAATACTTGTCGACCCTACATCCGGTTGTGACTATCCATCTCGAAAATTGACTCAAGAAAATCTTTGATTTTTCCATAATGAATGTAGTTTAATCCGGATAAAGAGGTGAATCAAAGTTGATTTCTTTGGTGTGATTGAATGCATATCGAATGGGAGTGTGGAATCGGAGAGAGTGTTATGGATAGGATCAAATGAGCACGATTTATCGGATTAGATTGGTTATTGATCGGAAAGGAGAGTAATCGAGAGGTAACGGATAGGAAACGGGCTCATGTTGAGAAGGTTTGAGCAGATGGGTAAAGGATTGAGGCTAGGAGAGATGAGGTTTGGCTGTCAAAAATTTTTATATATATATATATATATATATATATATATATATATATATATTGGCATAAAACAAAATAAGTCATTTGCAAACATGAATCATGATTAGAAAAATCATACAGTTTTCTTTTTTATCCACAAGCGCGCGCGCACACACACACACACACACATATATATATATATATATATATATATATATGTTATTTCAAATTTGATGACCCAACAAACACCAAAAGATGAGATTGAACAAACCTTATTTCTACTGATAATTGTAAACAATAGAAAATTAATAAATATGACTAAGGTGAATTAGCTAGTGCATACTTAAAAAAATTTAATCGTCAATGTTTAACATTTTCAACTCTTTAATTAGAAAATTAAACCTAACTTCATAAAAAGACTTGATAAATAAATTGGTGAGTTGATAGTTTATAAGAATAATGAAATTCAGTATCACCTAATTTTATTATAAGATGTTGAGGTGGACATAAGAGGTGTTTTTGTTAGTCCAAGTGACTAATTTTTCACTTAACAATTGACAACCTCGAGTTATACTCTCTCGTGTATTTGACAACCTCCAATTCACAACCTAATTTTAATTACTTAATTAGGTCTTTATCTTTTTTTTTTTAAAGATATATTTTCATTATTTTTATGTGTTAGGAGTTATTTATTAATTAAAACGAAAATCAATGATTTTATATTTAAATAGTTAGATTCATGTTTTATTCAACTACCAAATGATGCTCGTCTTTATATACATAATCGAGCACCAGCTTGGCTAGCAATGGCATACCAAATATTTTTATTGAGCGGATGTATTTTTAACTTGAATCAAAGGTCTACAAAGTCGTACGTTGCGTTTTTAGCCGAATTTAATTGTTTCGACAATTTTTAAAGTTTTTTGTTTGATTTCAAAATACCTTTTTGGTTGATATACTTTGTATTTTCAATATTTTATATCACCTCTCAATATTTAGCTTCTACACTCTTTATATTCCAAAAATAATTCTTATGAGCGGACCCCACTGGGCTTTCATAAAACCAACAAGCCCAAAAGAGTAGGAGGGAGGGGTTGTTTGTTTACCTCGTAATAGTTTCATTAAGAGGCAACCTCTGAATCGTTAAGAGGTGAATTTTGTTTGGCAAAAAAAAAGTCTGCCTCTTAATGGTTTTAAAATCCTCTGAATGATTTTGTATCCTGGATCCCCTTGACCATTAAGAGCCTTAATTTCATTGTATATAATTACCAAACAATTATATTTCATTTTGCACTATATCGTGAGAGCCTCTTAATCATTTTGACCACTTAACCATTCTGCACCAAATCATTCAACAATTCCAAACAGAACCGAAGTAAACAAATAAAAGAAATCATCGACCCCATAAAAGAACTCTTTACAAATAAATTGGAGAAATAACTTCTCTATACAATGATTATTGTTGTTATATAATATAGGGAGATTCAAGTGTATACACTCTGTTAGAAAGCAAACTTAAAACGTATACAAGTTTTATATATAGACCACAAAATCCATATGGATCCTTACGTTAAAATCATTTAGCAGAATCATCAGAAGCAGAACCATAACCAAATAAACTGGATAGCGTTGGGAGTTTGATCTCACCTTTATTATTAACAGGAATGCTGATGTCACCCAAGACCGGGAGATCAACTATAAGAACGATATTGACTTCATAGTCTATGTCCCAATCGGCACCAATGTCTTTTATTAGGCTCACTAACACGTTATGTGGCACCTTAAGCCCAACGTCTAGTTTCGTGTCCGCATTGCCTTTTAGCGATCCAGGATCTGGAATCTTGCCTTCAGCGATCACCCTGATTTCAACGTTATTTCGCCCAACATTACTCGCAAATTAACAAATTCACATTATATTCGTATCAATTTCAAAATTAAGATCAATCGGTTTCGATTTTTGAAATCAAAATCATTTACAGAATGTATACATCTGAGTATGTGTATAGAATTAAGTAGTATTTGCAACAATTGCTATGAATCTGTTGTAGTTTTGATGTAGAACAAAATTACGTAATGGTGATTGATGTATATAACATGGCAGATTTGGAAGATCGAGATCGGAAATTAATTAAGAGACGAACCTGTCGGCACTTTTGAAGGTATAAGCGATCTCGCAGATCGGAATAGAAGTGCTGTAAGGATTGGAAACAATGACCTCGGCGTTGTAGGTGATGCAATCACAGGCGATGTTTTTCAGATCGACGTTCTTCACGGTGGCCTCCGGCTTCTTCATGTTGGCCACCTTATCGGTTACGTAATCCTTCGCTTTATCAATCAATCCAGACATCTCTCCGGCGATGATTATGACCTAATTGATACAAGAAGAAAAGTAAATTTTGGTTTCGACGACGATATGCTTGGGATCCTCCAATTCGATAGAGATGCGTAATATTATACATATATATACATGCATAGATAAATAGAAATTGGGTTGGGAATGGGATGATCCGTGTGAGCAGGAGTGACACGTGTTGTTACCTTTCATAGTACAGATCTCTTTATGGTTTTTAATTTGTTTCTGTTAATCAAGCATTTTTGTAACCCACCTATCAATATATCAAATAGTGAAATATTTTAAATAATTAATATTTGATATATTATCTATACTATATTATAAAGCATTTGACTAAAACTCTTAAAATTTTTAAAAACTCTTAAAAACTCTTAAACTCGTTCATCCCTAAACGATTTCATCTCTATCCGATTTCATCATATATGAATTTGTGTAACTAACTGTAGATAAACACAATCAAATACAAGATAAACATCTCATTTTAAATATAAAATCTAAAATATAATTAGGATAATCATTGAGTTCTAACAGAATACTTAATTATTATCTTTATAAAATGTTATATTATTAAACCA